CCCCCCCACCCCCCCAGAGCAGCGTCTGGCCAGTGAGTGTGGAAGCAGCATGAAGGGATGACCTGGTGGAAGACACAGGCGGCGGGTTAGCGGCTGCTTTGAGGACCACAGGAGAGTGTGGAAGTGAAGTGCCGGGCGCTGTGCTTGGCCCACCGCGGGGTCTCCGTGGTGTTAATTTTCTTCCTCCGACCCCTCTAAGCGCAACAGGAGTCTTAGCTCAATGGCCACCTTCAGGGAGCTGCCCCTGAGCCCCCAGATAAAGGGCCTGGGACTCTCCGCATGTCTCCGCCGCTCCATCAACCAGCCCGAAGCCTCCAAGGTTCCCCGTGTCAACTCAACAGAGCACAGCCATGCTCGCCCTGCTACCACGCTGTTCCAGAGCAGAAGGTATGCTCTCAGTCTGTCTGTCTGTCTGTCTCATGTTTTCAGCCCCTTCTTGAAGAGCTGCCTGCAACTTTCTCACCCCCTTCACTCCTCCACCCACGGCCATCTGTACCCGCCCCACGTGCTCGCAATTGGGTTCCTGGCGCCCAGAGATCACTTTTGGCAGCAGTTGATGCTGTTGTCGATCCCTCCTTTCTGAGCCTGTTCCCTCAATATCGTAATAGTTCCTACCTCCCCAGCTTATTCTGAGGACCGGTAACCCCTTCACTCGGGTGCTCAGCCACATTTCAGAACTCCTCTGTGCAGGCTTCCTGCTGGCTCTCGCGGACCCTGACTGCGGAGGTGCCCACGGTCTCCCGGGCGCACGGGTGCTGTTATCACACGTGGGAGAGAGCCCGGCACTGCCTGCTCCTAGTGGACACTCAGTGGATGTGGGGCTCTGTGTCCCTCCTGCCATCTCTGGGTCCCTGATTATAGGTAGTAAGAAGGGGGTCGTTTTTGCTCTCTGAAATATCCTCCAGCCGTGATGGTCCCAGGCCCTGGCCCACCATCCTCGGGCTTCTCGGCCCTCCTCCACAGTGAGCCCTCTCTCACTTTGAGCTCCCGCGTGAGCCTGCGTGCAGCCAGGACGCCCCAGAGGCTGAGCGTGGCAGTTTCCGTGTCTGGACTTTTTGAAGCTTGGCTGCTCCCCCTTCTTGATGGGGTGACTGATGTGCCGCTTTCCTGACAGAATTGCCAGTGGCCTGAGGGGCAAGTCGGAGGCCGGAGGGACCAGGGCTCTCAGTGAGTAAGGCTCCAGGGGTCTTGGCCCCAGATCCGCCATTCCAGGCATCTGCTACCCTCTCCCCGAGTCTGCTTCGAGCTGAAGGGCCTCCATGCGGGAAGAGCCAGCGTCATGGTGAGAACAGGGGTTTCGAGTGGTCAGATGTAAACAAGTCTCAGCGCTGCCGCTAAGCAGCTGTGGGGCTTGGGCAAATCATTCCTCTCTCTGAACTTCAGTTTCCCCACTTGTAAATGAGGAATCCTTTTTTATTTAATTTTAATTTTTTTTTATTGATTTCAGAGAGGAAGGGAGAGGGAGAGAGAGAGTTTCAACCAGGGTAGCACTGCCCCCAGGGGCTATTTGGAAATGTTGGGGGACACTAACACCCCAGAGCTGTGAGGGTTAAGTGGGATAATGTGCACAAGTAGCAAGCATTGGCCTGGCACATAGTAGGTGCTCAATAAATACCTGTTGATAAATGAGCTTGTAAAAGCAATTCTCTCTGAGCCCTGGTTACCAAACAGTGAACTAGAGCTGGTCACTCTCACCTTGCAAAGTTGTATAAAAGGGAGGAGGGTGCTCCCTCCTTCTGGCCTCTGGCCCCAGGACCACACTCAGGGGAAGCTCCCCCAGTCCCCAGGGCTCTAGTTAGTGGAGAGATGTGGCACCTTGGGCCCAACCAGAACCCCCAGGATGGCAGCCTCCCTGCCCCTGTCCTCTGCCTCACCCCTGTCCACCACACAGACCTTTGTGGAGGAGGGAGGCGTCAGGGCCCCTGCGGCCGGGAAGGAAGACCATGTGGGGAGTTTGCACGAGGGTGCGGGGAGAGAGGTGGTTGTCCGGGGGGGTGGAACGAACATTTCAGAGGTGAGAGATTCCAGAGACAGCAGTGGATGGCTCAGTGGATGCTGTCACGGCCCTGCCCGCATCCTGTGACATTCCCATTCCCAGGCAGGCAGACAGCTGTGCCTGCCACTGGACCACCACCCCATCCCCAGGCAGGTGGGCAATGCCAGGGTGATGCCCGCAGCAGCCTCACCCAGGGACAGTGGCAGCTGGGGGACAAACACTCCACTTTGTCGCCCTCAGTGGAACAACTTGGGGGCATAGTCTACACTGTCTCTGGAGGAGCCTGTGGGGGCTGAGTCTCGTTTGCCCGCCATGAATGGCAAGCTGCGCATTAACACCCTGAACTGGCCTCTCACCCTGAACCTTTCCTCCTGCCAATCAAGCCCACAGGTAAGCAGATCCCTCAGGCCTGGCTCTTCCCGATGCTCTTTGCTGAGCACCTTCCAGGTGGCCGCCCACGCTGGGCTCCCTGGGGACCTCCTGGCAAAGGACAGGCCAGGGGCAGCATGTGGTCTGGCAGATGGACATCTGAGTTCCTCTGAGGAATAAAAATCATACTCGCTCCTGAGCACGGAGCCAGGCACTGGCGAAGACTTCCCACACACGATCTCATCGAAGGCTCCCAGCAGCCTGCAGGCCACTGCTTCCTCCTGCTGCCCAGTCGGGGGCCGGGCCTGGGCAGGTCAGGTGACTTCCCGGCTCCCACCGCCCGGCAGAGGGCGGGAGAGCCAGCACTCGGACCTTGTCTGTCACTCTAACCGGAGCCCAGGCTCCTCACTGGGAGCGGGAATGTGCCCCCTTTACCCCGATGCCCCATGCCTGGTGCAGGCTCTGAGCAGAAGAGCTTAGGAAATGCGTGTTGGGCTGAACGGAACCACGTAGGGCTCCTGGAGGAAATAGACACCGAGCCGTGAAGGGCATTTCTGCATCCGAGCTCTGAGCACAGGGTCTGGCGCGTACGATGTTCAGGCCAGGCCTGTGGACCAATAAAGGAGTGAACACTTACTATTCTTGGCCAGAATTTACACTGTGGCCCCGATGGCGTTAGGGGCTGCACAATGTGATTATCCCGTGTGTTCTTCCCGCTGCGTTCTTTTCCCTCGTCAGCTGCCCGCTACCACCTCCTTCGCTCTCCCTCTGAGCTCATCTAAGCGTGTCTGAAGGGCGCTTGTCCCATTGTCCCACTAATTAGAGATGCCCTCAGGTCCCCCGTGAACGGGAGATAGGAAAAACCTGTAGCGAGCACCCACTCTGTGCTTCCGCTTACGTTGTCACTTTCATTTCCACAGCAACCCCATTGGCAGGGCTGAATGGTCCCCCTGGACAGATGGGTAAGACTGAGGCCTAGAGGAGTTAGATGATTTGTTCCAGGTCACCCAGCAAGTTAGAGGCTGTTCCGGGATGGATAGGAGTCTGTCTAGCCCCAGACTCATGCCCTTTCTCCACCCCCAAATTCCCTTCCAGCCCCAGCCGGCTTCCCTTCCCCATGCAGGTGGCCAGTGCAGATCTCAGAACGTGTAAACCGGGCGACACCAGATCCGTCACCTCAGGGTGGAGTGAAGGAAGCACCTGGGGATCAGGTTACTAATTCGAGGCGCCGATGAATTATTCACACCACATTAACTTGAAGGCCCTTTCAGTCTCACCTCACTTTCCCCTGCTCCAGACCCTCTGCTCCTGGCCTGCCCGGCCTGCAGACTTGTGAGGGTCCGAGGTGGGGAGATGCTGGCAGAGCTGGGGTCCTATCTGCTGCTGGCAGTGGCTCTGCTGGGCCCAGGCCCCAGGGCCCGAGCCATGAAAGGTAGGAGCTCCTGGCGACAGGCAGGAATGGGGAGGAGGGGAGAGGAGTGGGCAGGCAGCAGTGGGGGTTCCGGGAGGTTTCTGGGTGGGGGACCAGAAAGCAGGAGGACCCTTTGGGAAGGTGGCTGAGTTGGGGATGTATCAGCTTCTGAGATGGGGGAAGAGAGAATTGACTGGGTGCCTGCTATGTGCTGGATGCTTTACGTTTATGATTGCATTTAAACTTCACAACAGACTTCGAGGTGGGTATTGGTGCCCATTTTACAGATGAAAAACCTGAGGGTGAGAGATTAAGTAAGCTGTCCACGGCTGCATGGCTGCCAGGGCAAAGGGAATGGCTCAGAGAACGAGTGCAGGTTTGTTGCTGGAAGGAGTCTTCATTCGCCCCTGAGAGCCTGTCCTTCCCCTGCCGACCAAGTGAAATCAAAGTTCCTTATGGCGAGCGTTCGGCTCCCTGCAGCCTGGCTCCGGTTTCCATGTAATTTCCAGCCTCAGTGCCTGCGTCCCCGGGCTCACACCCCCTTCCAGAGATGCTTCTCCCTCATGGCTCTCACCCTCGGCTCCTCTGCCTGGAGGGCCCCTTAGAACATCTGGCTCATCCATCAGACGAAGGTCCAACACCACCTTCTCCAGGACCCCTTCCAGGTCCCTGCATCATCCTCAGATGCTCCCTCCTTCCAGCTCCAGGCCCTCTGCCTGCACCCCGGTCCCAGGCCACTTCGCACTGCTGTAGCCCTTCCAGTGCTGTGTGGGTGTCTGGGGGGTGAAGGTGATACCGTTTCACCGTCGAGGGGTATGCATGCAGTTGGGGCTCAGCAAATCACCATTGGAGCCTCATTTTCCTTCAGGCTCGGGGGTGGGGGTGGGGTGGGGTGAGGGGACTCAGGAAGGAAGCATAACTTTCCAGTCACCCAGTTGGTGGCACAGATGGGCTGGGCACAAGGTGTCTCACTTCATGCCTGGGTAGTGGGAGGAGCTAGTGGTCCCCATTTTCCAGTACCCAGGCTTTGGTGGCCTTGGGTGACCTTGTGGGTCAGGGTGGCTGGCTGAGTCCTGGAAGACAAAGCCTTCACTCGTGGTGGTGCCAGGCCTCCTGGGCCATAGAAGTCCTGCTTTGACTCTGTCATGGCTTTTCCTGTCCTGTGGGCTGGCTGGGGAAGAACAAGGACAGCTACTGGACAAACTCCCTCTGTCCCCCCCCGCCATAAAGGCAGGAAGCAGACACCGTTCCCGCCCTGGCCTGACCCCGTGGCCAGGCAGGGAGCCGGTGATGTGAGCTGGTGTACATCTTGCAGCCCTGCATGGCTTTATGCCATCACAGCTCGCAGCTACCCAGCAAGAGAGGTGTCGTTCTCCCCATTTCACAGACGCACAACTGAGGCTCAGAAGTGACGGTGGGTCTGAGCCTTTGCTCATGCCATTCCCTCTCTCCAAGTCTTCCCGACAAACATACCTTCTCATTTTTCCTAGTCAAATTCAAATACCACCTCCTCTGTGAATCTTGTCCCTCCTCTGATAGTGCTGGCCTCAGCAAGGCTGGCCTCGCTGCCCCTGGGCCCCAGGGCCCTGTGTGGCCAGACACGATCACCCTGCAGGACTTTGTCTCATTTGCCTGGCTTTCCCCCTCCCACCCCCACCTCCCCACTGTGAGCTCCCAGGGAGGGGCCCATTCTGAATCAGCACAGTCCTGGGACAGGGCACATGCTCCGAAAGTGTGTCTTCTCTTACAGGAACTTTGCTTAAGGGTATTCCTTTTTATTAAAAAAAAAAAAAAGGTCTTGATTTGAGAGAGAGAGGAAGGGAGAGGCAAAGAGAAACATCTTACAGTGATCGGCTGTCTCCTGCACACCCCCTACCAGGGATCGAGCCCACAACCCGGGCATGTGCCCTGACTGGGAATCGAACTGGTGACCTCTTGGTGCATGGGACCGATGCTCAACCGACTGAACCACACTGGCTGGGCTTAACGGTATTATTCACGAAGCTTTTGATTGCAAGTGACAAACCCAACCTGAATGAGTTGAAGCGAAAAGAGGAATGTATTGGCTCTGTAATGAGGGAGGCAGGAGTGTAACTTAGCTGGACTCAGGGATGCCTTCAGCCAGGACATCTTGGCTTCAAGGTCATTTCCACTTTTCACATGGTTCTTGCCATCTGCTGACAAGCTTTCTCATGGGCCCTGAGCATGGTCCCGCCCAGGGCTCTCACTCCCAGCCCAGAAGCCAGGGAGGACAGGGTTCTCCTCCAGCTGTTTTGCAGCAGGACTCTGGCCTGACCTAGACCACAGGCACCTTGCAGCCAGTCACTGGGTGGTGGTGGGAGCCCCAGGACTGCCCAGCTGGCTCATGTGTCAACCCCTATGGCAGGAGTGTTACACATGGAGGCAGGGGAGCCAGTGTCTAAAAGAGGAGGAGTGTTGCTGCAAGAGATGGAGAAATGGACTTAGGGCAGACCAAAACAATAGATGACAACTACAGCGAGTAACTTTCCTTTCTGGGCCTCAGTTTTTCCATCTGTAAAATGGAGTCAATAACACCTGCTTTGTCTATTTTATGGGGCTATTGTGAGGATGCTATAAGATCATTCACTCATTCTTTCAGCAAATATGTATTGAGTGCCTGCTTTATGCCAGGTACTATTCTAGGTGCTTGGGATACAGCAGAGAACAAAACACAAAAAAATTCCTGCTCTCAGAGAGCTTACCTTTTTGTGAAGAGAAACTAGCATGAACCAAACAAGTCAAATATGCAGTGTGCATTGGATGGGAGTGAGTGCTATGGAGAAAGATGTAGCAGAAAAGGCAGAGAAAGACTATAGGGATGGGAGGGTTACATTGTTGGGGAAAGCTCACTGAGAAGGTGACCAAGAATGTGTTGGTTATTTTTTTACCTTTAATTACAAAAAGTTTCAAACATACACAAAGTAGGGAAAACAACATAATGCATCTCCATGTCTCCAACAACCGTGTTCAACAATTACCAACATTCTGCCTGTCTTGTTTCTTCTATCCTACCCCACCTCCATTTTTTTGGGGTGGCGGGGGAGGGGGAGGATCTGGATAAATTTAAGGCCAATCTCAGATATATTATTTCACCATAAGTATCTCAGAATATATCTTAACAGAGAAAGATATACATGCTGATCTTTCCCCCGGGATTGACTTTTTAAAAAAAATTACGCAGGCTGACGCTCTATCCACTGAGCCAAACCGGCTAGGGCTGACTTTTTTTTTTTTAGATTCCACATGTAAGTGATATGCAGTATTTGTCTTTCTCTGTCTTATTTAATTTAGTAGACTGTCTTCAAGGTCCATCCGTGTCGTAAATGAAAGAGTGGCCTTATTTTTATTTTTTTTAAATATTGATTTCAGAGAGGAAGAAAGGAGAGAAAGATAGAAACATTAATGATGAGAGAGAATCATTGATCGGCTGCCTCCTGCATGCCCCACACTGGGCATGTGCCCTGACCCGGTATCAAACCATGACCTCCTGGTTCACAGGTCAACGCTCAACCACTGAGCCACACGGGCCAGGCTAAAATGGCCTTCTTTTAATTCTATTCTGTGTATATATATTTATATATATTACATCTTCTTTATCCATTCATCTATTGATGGGCACTTACGGTGTTTCCATATCTTGGTTATTATAAATGCTGCCGTGAATATAGGAGTGCAGATAACTCTTCAATATTCTGTTTTTATTTCCTTTGGACACATACCCAGAAGTGGGATTGCTGGGTCATACGGTCGTTCGAATGTTAACTTTTTGAGGAACCTCCATATGTTCCCGTGATGGCTGCGCCATTTTACATTCCCAGCCACAGCGCACAGGGTTCCCTTCTCGCCACATCCTCTCCGCCCCTTGTTATCTCTTGTCCTTCGATTATGTCCATTTTGATAGGAGTGAGGTGATATCTCGTTGTGGTTTTGATTTGCACCTCCCTGAAGGTTTGTGGTGTGGAGCACCTTTCCAGGTGCCTGTTGCCCTTTGTATGTCTTCTCTGGATAATGTCTGTTCAGTTTCTCTGCCTGTTTTTAAAATCCGACGATGTGTTTTGTTTTGTTTGTTTTTGCTCCTGGGTTGTATGCATTCTTTATATGTTTTGGATATTCAACCCTTATCACATGTATGATTTGCAAATATTTTCACTGATTCCATAGGTTGCCTTTTCATCTTATTGCCTATAAAAATGACTTTTTGGGGCATTTTTTTTAATGATAAAAATTTTCAAATATATAGCAAAGTTGAAAGAATTTTACAGGGAATACCTATTTACCCAACCTCATTTACCTTTTTACTCAGGGATTAGAACAGACATCGAAGATGATTATTTCATTAAAGTTTACAAAATTATATTTTCCTAACATGGTTATTCTTTCTGCGGTCAACTATAAAAAGCAGTGTCCCTTCATTGGCTATTTGGTTATCCCAAAATACAGTCCACAACAGGAAGGGCAAAGTAGATGATTAATTCTTTCTCTAAATATTAATTTTCCAAAAAATGAGTTTATATATGTAATATATAAATATATATATACACAGCAACCACTAAAGGAAATCAGTGAGTTTCTTTTTTGTTTCTTTAGAGTTGTATTATGAATTCATGAATGTTTATGTATTTGATGTGTTTCAATCCACTGCAATCTTTCTTCTCTTGTGATGCTCAAATTGTACCCTGTTCGGCCAGTGGAGCCCTGCAGGTGGGCGCCTTTGACACGTTCCCAGCAGTCTCTGGAAGCTTCTTTGCTTTCTGGTGTGACAAGATGTCCCGAGTGTATTTTGTTATTTCCTGTCCTGGACCCACTGGTTCTCAAAGGAGCCCTGGTTCATTCTAGTTGGACATAATAACCCTAATCTAGGCAGAGGGTGCAAAATATTACTGTAACATTGTTTCTTTTAGGCCTTTTTAGTGAACAGAACTCGAAAATGATTTTTTAGAAATAAAAAATCTAAAAAGAAATTTAAAAATCTTAAATTCATATTTATGTTTTCAATTCAAATTAAGGATCACAGGGTTTTCCTTAATCTTTGTATTTGTATCACTCTTCTGTTACACTGAAACCTTTGTTGCTATTGACATCAGCCTACTTGCTCTATTTCAAAATATAAATACAGTGACAGTATTTACTATTATCACTAATAGTCAGTCTGCTGAGTATACTTTATGATTTCTTTGTGGTTTTGTTCTTGGATCTATTCCACCAGGAATGCACAGTCAAAATAGTCTTTCAAAGTCATGTGGAAATCATTTTTCTTCACGTGAATGTGCCTTCAACTAGATATATGGTTAAGTTTTTCAGTTTGGGATATTTAAGGGTTACTTAAATACTTTGTGTAATTTAAAAATTATATGAACATTATTCATTATTATATAGTCAACATGATAGAGCAACTTGCATGTAAAGGGTTCCTGCAGTCATGCCTGTTTCCTCCTTCCCCTGACAGAATAATTCATTTCCTTCCATTGTTTTCTTTTTAAAACTATAAGCAAATACGTACATAACTAGAGGCCCGGTGCATGAAAATTCCCACCCCGATAACCCAGCTTTGCAGCTGGGCCCACCACCCGAGACCCCAGTGCTGACTGAGCCATTCTCTCTCTTGCCCCAGGTGTCAAATGTGGGGGGGTGCTCTCAGCACCTTCTGGAAACTTCTCCAGCCCCAACTTCCCTGGACTCTACCCCTACAACACGGAGTGCAGCTGGCTCATCGTGGTGGCCGAGGGCTCCTCGGTCCTTCTCACCTTCCACGCCTTTGACCTGGAATACCACGATGCCTGCGGCTTCGACTTCCTGGAGATCTACAATGGGGTGGCGGGGGACCAGGGCAACCTGCTGGGGCGGTTCTGCGGCCAGGTGCCCCCGCCACCCTTCACCTCCTCCTGGCATATCATGTCTGTCATCTTCCACTCCGACAAGCACGTGGCCAGCCGCGGCTTCTCCGCAGGCTACCAGAAAGGCAAGGGGGCCTCGCAGTGCAGGGGGCGGCCTGGGTGGAGGTTGGGGGAGACTTGCAGGGGCGCAGCATCTTGGGGGGTAGGCTGCTCCGGAACCCGGATGACCCTGCTCTCGTAGCTCGGGGGGAAAGGCAGCCTCCGCTTGCAGTCTCGGGATTGCGGGCTCCCATCTTCATGGCGGCCATCGGCAAGCCTCCCTCCATTGTTCCTGGGAGCCTGGAGGCCGCACTGTGCTCTTTCGTTCTTGTCCTTCTTATCCCTGCCCTGGCATCCGGGCACAGGAGGGCGCCATGCTGTCACTGCGGTGGCCCCTCTGTGGCACCCCTTTACTTCACGTGCACATGCCCCCCCACACACCCCCGCGGTCCTCCAGGAGGGGCACAGGGTCTTGTGGACCTGGTGGCTCTCCCGCCCAGGGCCTTTCCAACTCGCCTCTCTGGTCTGGGGTCCCCGGCTCCTTACGCCAGGCGGGCAGCTGCCCCGCAGTCCCTGAGGGGGCAGAGGTCTGGCTCTCCTGGCCTCCCTCCCTGACTCATCGCCCTGCCCCAGGCTCCTCTGCACAGACTCACGCCCTGCCTCCGCCCGAGGCCAAAGCCACGTCTTCTCCATGGGACAGGAGCGCTAGGCCACCCGAGGCTCCTGGCACACAGTCTGACAGCAGTGGGGTTGGGGGGCTCAGGTGCGCCCCAGCTCTCTCTGGCTTTAGAGGCAGAGAATTGTAGCTGCTAAAACACAAGGATCACAGACTGATTTAATAGCAGTTTTGGAATCTTAGACCCTTAGATTTTTAGAACGTTTAGCTATCCAAGTCATAATACCATGGGCAGTGTGTTCCAACCTTTTTAAAAACAGCAGTATCCTTTTATCAAATGGAATCTTATGTTAATCCCTGATATATGAGAGATAAAGGCAGCATTTTAGGGTGTGCATTTATTTTCTAAGCTCATATTTTTAACATTTACTTATTTTAAGCCAATCATTGAAGGTGTAAGTCAGTATTTGTGGCCTCCAATGAGTTAAATTTTTACATGTAAGACGTAACTGTGGACTCTGCCTTTCACAGCATTAAAGCACGATTTGAATGCAGCGTAAGAATGAAATTCGCACCAGCTGCCTGTCGATGGCTGCTCCAGACGGCCACTGGGGAGCCCCGGAGCACAAGTTCAAAGAGTCTACTAGGGTATTAGCCTTGGAAGGGATCTCACAGGTTGTCAAACCTGTCCTCTCATTTCACAAACAATACATCTGAGACCAGAGAGAGACGGTGCCTTCCCAAGGTCACAGAGCTCCGAAGCGAAGTCCTTAGCTGCCCAGCACAGTACTCGGGCCACACAGCCCTGGGGCGAGATTCTGGAGTCCCAGGAAATACATCCGAGGGTGCCCCTCCCAGCTGGGGCCCCCAGCTAGTCCCAGCATTCATCATCAACCATCTCCTGGTTGTATTGGTCACAATGCATCTTCTCAGGCTGGGCATGAATCTGAGGCCGTAGATCAGGCTGGGCAGGTCTTATGATTTCCAATATTCCCATGAGGCTCAGAGAGGCTGAATGACTTGCCCAGGGTCACACAGCTAATCTGAGGCAGAGTTGGGAGGACACCTGTCTTCAGACTTCAAGCCTATCTCTGCTTCATCAGACCCTCTCTCTAAGCCTCAGTTTCCTCACCTGCTAGGGAGGTTTAATAACATTTCTGAACTCAGGCATCTCAGCCTCTGTACCCTACTGGCCTGGCAGGAGGGGACAGTGAACATCATAAGGTCCTGTGCACAGGGTCTGCAGTTAGTCAACCCGTTTTCCACGTTACCAGACCGGTGACCTGCTGCCAGGACCCTGCCCATGTCCCTTGGGCCTTGCCAGAACGACTCCTGCCAACCTCCTCTTCTCTTTGCTTGAGGGATTTTTGTGAAGGTCTGCTGGTCACCTCTACCCCAGCAGCCCTCGGCCTGGACTCCCGGGAGTCGGTGTGTGAACACCCCACTTCCCTACTCTTAGGTGACACCACTCTGAGGTGTGTGCTTTGCACGGTTCCCCAGAGTTCCCCACAGGGCTCCGCAGCTGGCTTGGAGAGGCCCATCAGTGGCCGCCTCCCCTCCCCTTCTCTTAGTGTCCCTCACTCCCCCTCACTCCCCACACAGGGACCCCATGTCTCCCACGTAAACTCACTGCTCAAATCCTGTCTCAGAGCCCAGGTGAACCCAAACTTCTTGGGGCTCCATCTTCTCGACTGTAAGGTGGGAAACTAACCCGAACCCCCCACATCCCCCACAGCGTGATGGTACCATTTACAAAGGTGGTGCGGGCACTAAACCCCGGCCTGTGCCTGCCACTTGGCAAGTGCTCGGTGGATGGCGACCAGGTGCCCAGGCCTGTGGGAGTGGCATGTTGGGGTGTGGGTTCCCTTGGGAGGGGATCCATGGGGAAGGAGAAAGATTGGTTCAACCGGGCTCGCTTACAGATGTGTGTGGTGGCGTCCTGACGGGCCTGTCGGGGGTCCTCACCAGTCCCGAGTACCCCAACAACTACCCCAACAACGCGGAGTGCCGCTGGGTGATCCGGGCCGCCGGCCCCGCCACCATCAAGCTGGTGTTCGTGGACTTCCAGGTGGAGGGCAGTGCGGACTGCACCTATGACTACGTGGCTGTGCTGGGTGCGCCGGGCCCCACCCGCGGGCACCACTACTGTGGCAGCGCCAGGCCCCCCACCCTGGTGTCGCAGGGCCACGAGCTGCAGGTGGTCTTCAAGTCCGACTTTAACATCGGAGGCCGGGGCTTCAAGGCCTACTACTTCTCAGGTAGGAGGGCCTGTGCGTGCTGGGCTCCTGCCTCCCCGGCATGCGTGTGGGGGGAGAGGGCACACTTCCCTGCCTCTGGGCTTCGAGCTTTCTGCCCTCTCGCTGCCTGGAATGCTCTCGCACAGCCTTTCCTGCCTGGCCGATGCCAAGGCATAAACATGCCACCTCCTCTGTGAAGCCTTCCTGATTCACCCAGAATCAATCCCCTCCTTCAGTTCCTTACAGAAGTGTTAGCAAGGCTCTAACACACCAGTTCTGTGTGTGGTTTGCTTGTCGATCACCCCTGCCTGACTGGGAGTTCCTATGGGCTTATCTTTGCACCTGCCATGTGGTAGGTGTTCAATTAATTGTTAGTAAAGTGAATGAATGAACCCTTGGGTGTGCACCATCCAGAGGAGAAGATGGAAAAGGAAACAGACAGTGACAGTAAGAATCATGGATGGCAGCTGGGAAGAGGAGAGGATTAGGCAGTGCTCCGAAGGAGTTAGCCAGAGGCGGAAGGAAGGGAAGGGTGTTCCAAGAACAGGGATCTGCATGTGCAAAGGCTTGGAGGACAGAGAGAGTTCACTGTGCTTGCAGTCCTAGCTGGAAGGTAGGGTGGGTGAGAAGCAGTGAGAAAAGGGGCAAGGTCCGGTCATGAACACCATTGTCATGCCCCAGTTTGGACTGCACTCTGAGGACAGGTATGAGGGCCTGTTCTTGAATTCCTAACAGAGCCAACACTCATGAAGGGGAGCGCCGACAGGAATGAAAGTCCCGGCTTTCAGCTAGCTTCAGGCTAACACAGGCTTTGGGATCCATTGCCTGGTTTTCTGGCCATGGTGCCCACAACCTACCAGGGCGGTGCTGTGACCACTATAGTGACTGTGGCTCAAACTGTAGCTGTAGAAAGCGACAGTCCCCATCCTTCTCACCATTGCTCCTTCCCCCCTCCTCCCCAGGGGAATGCCAGGACGTCTGAGAAAGGGCAAGAGAAGTTATTTGTTTCCTACTTCTTAAAATCCAGCACCGAAACTATAAGATGTAATTTGAAATAACAAAAGCTCCTCACGACTGCATTTTATACATTGCCTGGTTTTCTGGCCATGGTGCCCACAACCTACCAGGGCGGTGCTGTGACCACTATAGTGACTGTGGCTCAAACTGTAGCTGTAGAAAGCGACAGTCCCCATCCTTCTCACCATTGCTCCTTCCCCCCTCCTCCCCAGGGGAATGCCAGGAGGTGTACACAGCTGTGCGGGGCAACTTCTCCAGCCCACAGTACCCCAGCTCCTACCCCAACAATGTCCGGTGCCACTGGACCATCCGCCTGCCTCCTGGCTACCGGGTCAAGGTGTTCTTCCTGGACCTGGAATTGGAAGGGCCCAACAGCCTGACCAAGACCTGTGACTTCGACCACCTGGCAGCCTTCGATGGAGCCAGCGAGGAGGCGCCCCTGCTGGGGAGCTGGTGTGGCCGCCACCTGCCGCCGCCGGTCACCTCGAGCCGCAACCAGCTCCTGCTTCTGCTCCACGCAGACCGCAGCACCTCCCGCAGGGGCTTCTCTGTGGCCTACATTGGAGGTCAGTGGGGGGCGCAGGGGGCGGGTGTGCTGGAGGGGGCAGCGAGGCTGGGGTCCCAGGTCTTTGCAGCCTCCTTCCTCCATCCCACGAACTGGTTTCCCTATCCTCTTCCCGGGCCCCTCCATCACCAGCGCCTCCTCTGGGACCTTTGAGCCTGCACCCGTGTGGCCCGTGCTGATTCCAGCTTCCAACTCTGTAATCCCTCAACCCTTCTCATCTGGCTCTTCCCTCCATGGGCCTCTGGTCTCTCTTGATCTTGATCCTCTATCCAGAGGTAATATAAAATATGGTAATATTATTTATGGTAAGCAATTGGTGTAACCACATAGAAGCCGACAAGCCTGGCTCGAGTCAGAAACCCTGACTGACTGTGGCTTGAACAAATGGCTTTTGTTTTCATCACATCACATAAGTCGAGCCAGGCAGCTCCTGTGTTGGTTCAGGGACTCAACCTGTCCCAGCTTCTCTAGATTCTCTTGGCCTCATGACTGCAAAATGGCTGCCACAGCTCCAGGCATCACACCCATGTTCAAGGCTGGCCGAGGCAGGAGAGGCGCCAGCCACAAATGTCCTTTTATCAGGAAAGCGACATCATTTTCAGAAGCCGTCAAAAGATTTCTTCTCGGTCTCATTGGTTTGGACTTGGTCAGGTGGCCAGGCCTACGGGCAGAGGAGGCCGGGAAAGTTGCTACTCAGCTGTTCCAGCTTCCAAAGTGCCAGTTAGATCTGCCAGCTGACTGTGTTCACCACTCCTCCCCTCTTCGCAGCAGGATTCCCTGGGCCACGGGCCCAGAAATGCCTGTGTCCTGGACCCGCTTTGCCCTCTGCCTGGCCCGGCGGAAGCTCTTTGCTGAGCAGGTGTGGAAACAAAGGTGCGGAGAGAGGACAGGCCTTCACTGCCGCCGCAGGGGAGAGAGTGGCACAGCCAAGACTAGAACCCGCTCCCCTGCCTCCCTGTGTGGCTGAGCTGGGCCCCAGGGAGGGGGCCCACAGCTGGGCTCGGACAGACCGAGGCCAACAACCAAATGCTGCCACTTACTGACCGTCCATGCACATCTGGGCTCATCTGTAAAAGGGGCTGACAAACGCCCCAGACAGGCAGCCATTAAGGTGCAATGCGGTGACACAGGTCAGATGGCCTGGCTCTGAGGACGTCCTTGCTGAAGGTGGATTTCTTTCTGTCATGTGCCTCAGGCCTGCTCGTCATTAGAAAGATCTTTCCTCTCTCCTTACCTCAGAGGCCAGAGGAGTTGGCGGGAGGAAACAGCAGAGCTGCAGCCCCTAGTGGCAGAGCGGTGGGCTGGGCAGACCCACCTTCTCTGGACCTCCGGCAGCACCATCCCTGAACTGGGAGAAGGGAACTGTCCCGGGTTAGAGGGATCCCCTTCTCAGATTGCACTCTGGAGAGCCAGGTGCCACAGGCTCTGCCACAGCTAGCTGGCAAGTCCCCTTCTCTCTGGGGGTGCCGGGGGTGGGGGGTCTCAGTTTTTCCACCTGTAAAATGAGGACATTGGCTGAAGGACCTTTAAAGTCCCTTTTGGCTCCCATAGTCTTGGTTCCGGGCTGGGTCCTCTCCCAAGTCTGTGAGATCTCGGACAAGCCCCTTCTGCTTCGGTGCCTCTAGAGCAGCCGTGGGCAAACTACGGCCCGCGGGCCGGATCCGGCCCATTTGAAATGAATAAACTAAAAAGAAAAAAAAAAGACCGTACCCTTTTATGTAATGATGTTTACTCTGAATTTATATTAGTTCACACAAACACTCCATCCATGCTTTTGTTCCGGCCCTCCGGTCCAGTTTAAGAACCCATTGTGGCCCTCGAGTCAAAAAGTTTGCCCACTCCTGCTCTAGAGACTGAGGGTGGGGCAGCTGTAATCCTGGCTCCTGTTCAGGGGCAGGAGCCCCCACTCCCACCTCACCCCACCCCACCTCCCTCCCGGGTCTGGTGGGAGCCCAGGGTCAGACAGGGGCACTCGTGCTGGGCAAGGCGCCAGATGTGGCCCAGGCTGCTGGCGGCCTCCGGGCTAGAGGACAGCCCAGCATCAATCAGAGGTGACACACAGTTCAGCGCCACCAAGATCATCGTGGGAGACGGCGGGCCCATAAATCCTGGCTGCCCAGACACCAGAGGCTGAAATATGTCTGAGGCATTTCCCGGGGAGGCGTTGAGAGTTCCAGGCCTCTCCTGCCAGCACCTTCCCTCTCCTCCCACCAGTCACCCCCTTGCTTTCCCTTACACTCGCCCCAGCAGGCACTGCCCTATACACACACACACACAGAGACACACAGAGACACACACAGACACACACACAGACACACACACAGACACACACAGAGACACACACAGACACACTCACACACACTCACACACACAGAGACACACACAGACACACACACACACACACACACACACACACACAGACACACACAGAGACACACACAGAGAGAGGCACACGCACGCACACGCACACAGACACACACACACACACACGTGTGTGCTTGCACAGACCCAGCACTTGAGCCGCACCCTCCTGGCCGGGAGGGAGCAGTGGGCCCCAGAGAGGGTGAAGACATCAGGGCCTCTGAATCCTGCAGGCTGGATGGTTAAGATCCCAATAAACCACAGCAAACAGCTTCACCTCCCAGAGCTTCGCCTCCCCGAGCTGTAGAGGGGGTTTAGTCACATTCCCCTCCTGGGTCATCGTGGAGGGTTGGGGGGGGAGTGCTTTCTTCACCACTGTTTCCAGCCCCCACACTCTGCGCTGTCTTTATTCTTTCCCTGGTTTGCCCTCAGACCACTCAGACGCTTAGTGTATTTTACATATTTATTGTCCCCTTGCAGGGCCACAGCGTAAGCTCCAAGCGGGCAGGGATGTCTGGCTGGGTTTCCCCCTCCATTTCTGTATCTGTTGTGCTTGGAATAGTGCCTGCACATAGTAGGTCCTCCATAAATATTTGTTAACCGATGAATGAATTGCCTGGCACATGGCGAAGTAATCAGCAAACAGTAGCTTTTATCATGATTAACAATATGCATTCATTCATTCATTCAATCATTCATTCATTCAGCACCGACTGTGCTTGCCAAGCTCTGTGTGAGGCTCAGAGGACCCTCAGATGCAGGCATGGTGTCTGATGGGCAGCGCATTGTCTGATGGAGTTACATGGAGTGATGCATATAGAGCTTCCCCATAGGACTGCATAGAACTTCCCCCTGTGGGCTCAGTGTTCCCATTCACCACCCGTGGGTGGGAGTTTGGGGGGTGGGAGTCAGAGTGCCTGCCCCTAAGGCCTCCAGCTCCTTCCTCCTGTCCCCAGTTGTGCCCATGAACGTGAGCTGCTCCCGCATGGACTTCCAGATCCTGATCTCCACGCAGGCGCTGGCCCCTCTGGGGCAGACCCAGGTCTACCTGGGCAGCCGGCGCTGTGCTGCCCAGGACGTCGGTGGCACCTTCCGGATCCAGGCCCGCTTCGACACCTGCGGCACTGAATCACAGGTAGGGGCTGGAGAGGGGAGGGCAGGCGTGACCAAGGTGCTCTGACCGCTGCTGAAAGGCAGCTGCCATTCCTGAGAACGCAGCTTCTCTTCCTGGCTCCGGTGACTGCCCAAGCCTGGGTACAAAATTCAGCCCCTCTTGGCTTTACCTCAGCAAACTTGCTCAGTGTAGACACAACAAAGAGCTCAGATAAGGGAGACAGAGAAGGGGGGCTCACAGCACAACCGGCCCCCACCAAACGCCCCTATTGGGGCTCCTCCCACGGGCCCCATGGCTGAGCATTCCTGGAGGCCTTCCTGCTGTCCAGGGCCACCCAGGCCTCCCCCCTCCGCAGGCAGAGCTGGGGGAGCCCTGCCGCCTCCTGCTGCCCCTCCCCCAGCCCTAGGAGCCAATCCTCCCCGGGCTCCACAAAACAAAAGGGCCCTTCAAGTCACAGGATCCACCTCCCTCCAAAGGCAGTGAGGCTTGCAAATGAATTTTTTCTAGGATCCTTGTATTTTGGAAACCTTAAACCCAGGCTAGAGCCTCAGAGTCCCTGAGCAGTGCCCCAAGCACCCTGGGTGTTTGCATTCTCAGGGACAGGTCAGGCGGGGGGG